GTCCTTTAATCCAGCAAAGCCTCTAATACAGCCACAAAAGACCCCGATTCTCTTCATAGCCACCTTGGTCAGTCCAGGGAGCAGCTGATCTCACAAGGTGAGAAAGATCCAGATGTGGGTTGAAAACTGTGCCTGCTCAGTTGGTACCCGCAGCATGCAGCTGCCAAAGTGACTTTCCTGGTTTTATGTTCCCACAGTCACGCCTGCCCACAAACTCCCTTTAGCATCCAATGCCCAAGACCACATATTGACAGGCTAACTGCTTCTACTCCTTCTGTCTCAAAACTCCCCTCCAAATCACCTGGAAGAGCCCACATTATGACTTATAACTGTAATCTCAGCACACAGCAATAAGGCAGAAAGATTGCCAAGAGTGCAAAGCCAGCCTGGGCCAAATAGTGAGATCCTGTCCCCAAAACCAAATTTAAAAAGCCCCAATAAAAACCTTATGTCCATCCTCTCTTAACACCTACCCATACATTCTCCAAGGTCCCATGCAAATGCCAGCAACTCCACAAAGCCCTACCAGATTCCCCAGCTAGATATGGCTCCTCCCTTTCTCAGGGTTGGGGTAGGAGAGGGGGCTGTCTGTACCCTTAGGCCCTTAATCAAGGTGTAGGTACTCAGTATTACAGGAGATGCAATTAATAGTGGACTGGACAGGGTATCCTGGGCCCAGAGGAAAGAGAACTACTAGTTCAGCTTGGACTGGAGGAGGACAGGCAACACTAGTAAGAGTCACAGTAGCAGTGATGCTGGACAAAGTCAAGAGCAATGCTGAGGGTGTGGGAAGGCAGCCCTCCCTATGTGGTTCCAGGAAATCAGAGCTGTAGATGGACAGTGGCAGGTAGAGGGAAAGCCTCTACAAGGAAGGCACATAGGACCAAGAGTGGAAGCCACTAAGGCAACTGCTTATTGGTCCAATCACACCTGCCACCTGCTGCCCTTCCCACCCCATGTGGTGACTTTTCCTGGAGAACAGTCCTCTCCTGTCCTCCCCAATAGCCAGAAGCAAGGCACCACGCAGGCCCACTGGATCAGACATGTACTCACGTTGGCCTTCTGCTTCTCAGCCTGCAGCTGAGCATCGATCTCCTCAGGGCTTGTATACTGTCTCACCCGGCCTTTGTGGCCTCCCTTTCTACCTGCACAAAGATCAGAAGTTCAGGAAGGTGAGAGAGAAGGCTGCCATTTTTGCACTGACCCCAGGAGGCTGTATGCTTGAGACAAAGGAAACTTCACCTACCCCCACCAAGTACAGTGTTCCCCTCAAAAACAAAAAACAAAACAAAACAAAACAAAAGTAGCAGCTTATGACACTAGGTGCACAAATCGCCGGATGTAGGTTCCTAACAAGACCTGAGGTGAGGAAAGTAAGGAGGAGTCTGACTGAATCCTGTTTTCTTAAAATCCTTAGTCCTTGCAGTCCAGACGGCAGAGGCAGGGAAGATATAGACAGTTCTAGGCTAGCCTGGTCTACATATGGAGTTGCAGGCCAGGCAGGGCACATAGTGAGAGACCAAGTAGAGAAGCATAAAACATGTATGCCTTTTCTGGCATAACAAAGCTTTTAACGTTAGTATCACTCTGTCACAGCTCATCTGATCCTTAAAACAAAGGTACAATACAAAAGCCATTGCTGGTTTTCTACCACAGGGAAGGAGACTTACTTACTGTCAAGCAAAGTGCAAAAGAGGAAGAATTCTGAAGCCTAAATCTCTGGGTACTAGCTTTATCATTTCCTAGATGTGTGGCTCTCTGGGCAAGTATACACTTTCCTAAAGCCTCGGGGGTTTTTTCCCCCAAAAAGGCTGCCATGGAAATAAACTGGTTACCATTCAAAAAGCAGCAGGGCAGGGCATGGTGGCACATGCCTTTAATCCCTGCACTGAGTTCTGGGGCAGCCAAAGCTGTTACATAGAGAAACCTTGTCTCAAAAAAACAAATTAAAAAAAAAAAAAGGAGGGGCTGGAGAGATGGCTCAGTGGTTAAGAGCACTGACTGCTTTTCCAGAGGACCCGGGTTCAATTCCTACCACCCATATGGCAGCTCACAACTGTCTAAAGATCCAGTTGCAGGGGATCTGACACCTTCACACCAATGCACATAAAATAAAAAGTTAAATAAACCTTTTTTTTTTAAAAAAAGAAAGCAACTGGAATTGTGAGTGGCATTGGATAAGACACAAAATGTCTGCTAATCTGTTCTAATACCCTGCTTAGTAGAAAAACATAAGGTACCACTGGCGCCGTAAGTGAACTGTCACCAATAGCAGCAGAAAGAATGAATATTCCACGTTTATCTTGGTGATATGAAGAGAATACTTACAGGGGTAAAAGCCCAAAATAGCCAGGTGATTGCATGATTGGGAGCCAGAGGCAGGCAGATCTCTGTGAGTTAGTTTAAGGCCAGCCTGGCCTACAGAGAGAGTGCCAAGACAGGCTCCAAAGCTACAGAGAAACCCTGTCTCCAAAAAAAAAAAAAAAAAAAAAAAAAAAAAAACCAAAATATACCAGCAGAAATTCTGTGTTCATTCTGTGTTCAGAATTAAACTAAACTAGCAAATGGGGCTGGGGCTGGAGATGGCTCAGCAGTTAGGAGCACTAGCTGCGAGACAGTCCTGTTTGGTTCCCAGCACCTACATGGCAGCTCAAAATCATCTGTAACTCCAGTTCCAGTGTGTTCCAGTGTCCTCTCCTTACTCACATGGTGCATTGACATACATGCAGACAAAAACGCCTCACTCACACAAGAAAAATTAAACTGGCAAAATTAATGTTGAATACAGATCCAACAACAGCAGTCTTAACACTGACTTGGACTATCTGTGACAATTCATCTAAGAGGTTAAGTTCCGTACTCTGATGCTCTAGGAGAACACTAGCCCAGCTCCTGCTAAAGCTCATCTTACAGCTGGGTGGCAGCTCCTGGGCAACATGACCTCTCTGGATTTCCCAAAGCCCCTTGCTGTGAGTAGAGAATCTGTAATTAGTCAGCCAGAACCACTCCAAGCTCTAGAGAACACTGCAGAGACACTGATTTCCTAGACAGCAGCTGCAGAGCTGTAATTGGGCTGCCACAGCCTACACCACCCATTTTTAATGACTACCTGAGTTCCCAAGGGTACCTAGGTATGCTCATGAAAGGTCTATTGTGAGATGCCAAGCTTGCCATTCAAAACAGCTGGGCGGTGGCACACACACCTTTAATCCCAACCCACGAGGCAGAGGCAGAGGCAGGTGAATCTCTGTGGGTTCAATCTGGTCTACAAAGAGCTCCAAAGGACAGGCTCCAAAGCTACAGAGATACCCTGTGTCAAACCTCCCCAACAAAAACAAACTAACGGGAAAAAAAAGCCCTAAAAACACCTCTTCTTGCCTTCTTAATATTCCAGATAGTGGTAACAACTCAAAACGGGTCATTATAGGCCCTTATTCCCTACACTTCTCTATGGGATACTGACCTTAGCTTGGTTCACAGTATGAAGAAAAAGAACTTGTCTCTTGCTCTTGGGGAATTTTTCTTAAAAAAATTTGTTTATAGTTGTATCATATTAACCCAAGCCTTGTCTGCCTGCAGGGCTTTTCACAAATCAAAAGACTAAATGAATTAGGCAGTATTTCATATTTAGGACAGAGAAACTGGAATCCGCAACCTTGGAGTCAAGAGTTCTGGAGCTGGAAAGGTTCCTTTGCCTCTCACAGATGAGAACGAGGAACAAAAGACAGTGAGTGTTCTTCCAGACACAGAATAAATCGGAAGAGAACTAGGTTTAGCCGCACTTGGCTCTGTAAAGCCCAATGTCTGCATATTGACAGGAAGCAATTTAGGCTTGAAAAAGTTCCAGGCAGATGTTCCTGTAGGCTCACTGAATTAACTGGCTTAACACGTGAGCTCCCAACATTAACAGAACATCTGTTCGGTGCCAAGAGCTAGCCAGGTCCTTAGTGCGATCTCTTCTATCGTCCCAAACTCAATTCACACCCGTGTAGTTCAGGTCTTGTTTAAGGCTACAGAATTAGGATGTGATATATCTGGTATTCGAACCCCCGATTCTACTGTCTTTTGGGGGCTTGCCTGGGCAGGGACACTAGACTGAGTACGGGACCCCCCAGTTTACGCCTCGAAACGGAACAAGAGGTAGAGATATAATAAATGTCTCCCCCTTTGGCAACGACAAAACCGAGACACAAAGAAAGTTAGGCGACTGGCTCAGAGACGCATCCTTAATGGCTACCGTGCAAGGAGCGAGTAAAAGCAAGGTGGGCCAGAATCCACATCATTAAGTCAAGGTCTTATTATGAGGCAGGCGTGGCCGAGTTGGAGCCCCACAGAACCCACACTTTGCTCGCGGCGGACAGGCTCCGCACCGCGGGACACGGTGACTCAGTCTGAGGCCGGCCAAGTGGGAGGACAATTCCAGACGCTCGCCAGACTCCGAGGACCGACTCCTGGGTCCCCTTTTCCTCGAGGGCGAGGACCTAACGCCCGGGAATTTCTTAAAATCCCCGATGGCGAGGCTCTCGACAACTGCGATCCTGTTTCCCAGGCAGGACAATTGAGCGTCGAGGCCCACGCTGGGCTGTGAGGCGGCGGGGATGGCCTCCTTCGGCGCGGATCTCCTAGAGGTCCGCGGACTGAGGGGACACTGGCAGCCCATCCACGGCCGCCCCTAGCGAAGTCACGCGAACCACGCGCGCCCACTCCCTCACCTCCTTTGGGCATCTCGGCTCCGGCTGCTGCAGCGGCGGCGGCGCCTCGAACTGACACCGGAACCGGAAATGCCTTGGGATCGACTTCTTCCGTCCAGGGCAGCGCCTACCCGCACGCCGCCGCCGCCGCTGCGAGGAACGGGGACCTCACCGAGGCCGGGAAGTCTTGCGAGTTGCCTGATTTTCTGGCCCGACCGCTTGCTGCCTGGCAACCGGGCTCCCTGGGATCCCGGTGCGAGGAGACGCGTAGCTGTGCCGGCCACCCCTACAGAAAGTGAAAAGAAAAGGGTCGTAGGACTTCCGAAATTCTACAAAGGCAGTGTTTAGACACCTAGGATGACGCAATCTCCGCGCGAGGTGGGCGGGGTCCCGCGAGGGTACTTATTCTGAAGAGTTTCTCACCGGGGCGGAAGTCGTCAATAAAGCAGCGGCGGCCGTAGATGCTTGGTCTTCCGGTGAGTGTTTCTTTCCTCTGTTCTCGAGTACTGTCTCTTTGGCAACGGTTACGGCCAAGGAGATCTTAGCCGCGTAAGCGGCAGAGGCTAGAGTACCTGATAAATGGGTATCTTTATCGTTCTGCACAGGGTATGGAGGATTTGAGGCGCTTTCTTTCTCAGCCCCCCCGCCCCCATCGTTTTCTCTTCCTGGACCGTTTTCTAAATACTGCCAGTTTCTCAGATGCTGGTCTATGAATTTCCCCCACTGTTTCTTCAGTAACATCCCTCTCGTTCACCTCTTCTCCCGAACTCTGTAAAGCGCTCAACACCTCTTTGCTTCTAATATGTTCACCTCGTTTTACCATTCTCCTGACCCGAGACTCTTCCCGGTTGAATTCTCCTGGGTCGGGAGAAAGTGATTCTGTGGTGAGGCTGCGCGCCCTAGGAAGGACTCGGACCATGCACCTCTTCACTTTAGTGCTGGGAGAACCAGTACAAAGACCACTGATGGGGAAGTCTGCCAGTTCTCGGCTGTGTGACCCTGAGTACACCTCACTGTTTTGAATTCATTTGTAAGACTGTTAAGGAGAGGTGTATGGGGGGGGGGGCGTGATTGTAAAGCTCACTCACCACACAGTGGGTGGGAGGGCATACATTTGGAAGACAGGAGTCGGTTGTACTTAATAATAAGTACAACCAGTAATAAGTGGACAGGATTCTCTTTGCCAGCTAGAAAGCTTAATGCAATTTGAAAGGATGCTTTTTGCCTTTTAGGTGATTAAAGGCTTGGTGGCTCATGCCTTTAATCCCAGGAAGCAGAGGCATGTGGATCTCTGAATTTAAGGCAGGCCTGGTCTACATTCCAGGACAGCCAGGGCTACACAGTGAATCCCTGTCTTCAACACAAAAAAAAAAAAAAAAAAGGAAAAGAAATTTTTCTATTATAATGTTTGGTCGGGTAATCTGCTCTCTGCTCTCATTTTACAGATAAGACAGAGGACCAATGAAGAAATTTGATCTTCCCAAAGTCACAGAATATTGGTGAATCAGGTCAAGAGCACAGGATTGTAACTGCAAAGACCAGGGAGGGATTTTTATATATTCTCATAGGAAAGAGTTTGAAGGTATTGTGCTTTTTATATCTATGTTTTCACCTTTAAAACTGCCACCCTTAGATTCTTCACTTAAAGACTTTAATTGTAATTGACTTGCAATCTATTTTTAATAATGATCCCATAAGGTATATCTTATTATACTTATTTTTAGAGGTGAGAAAGTGAAAATTTCTTTTTTTTCTTTTTGAGACATACTGTCACAGCTAGATTGCTAGATTGGCCTCAAAATCACCATATATCCAAAGCTAGCCTTGAATACCCCCTGATTCTTCTGCCTCCAACCTATAAGTGTGTATAGCCATTCACATCTAAAGGCTATGTAGCTGTCTGGGTCCTTCTGAAGAATAATCTACTGTGGGCATACTTTTGGTTTTGGATGCAAGCCAAAGTAACAAATAGCTAGAGAGAAGGGAGGAAGTAGACGGCAAAGTGTATAGGCGGAAATCTACTGGGGAAGCTGCTTTAAAGCATCCAGCTGAAGTGAGTGCCCAGTAGAGTTCTGGCCATAGTGTCCATCAGATGAGATTCCAAGCAAAAAAAAAAAAAACTGCTGAGATAATGTCATCAGATGTGCTGCTCACAAAATCCAACAAAACTGACTGGGGAAACTGAGGCAGTCAGCTCAAGTTCCCATGGTTGAAGTTCCAGGTTCTCATTTCTACGGTAGACACTCTTATATGGTGAGATAACAATACTAACTGTTGGAAACAGAGTACCTTCCAGCAGATTCCAAGGCCATGGTGTTTTCACTCTCGGTCTGTTTTGCTGTTCTCATTCCTCCCTGTGTAGAGCTGGGAACCTTTTTGGGGGGCAGCCCGTGCCCAGATAAAGGACTGGGGAGGATACTGAGATACATGTGCTTGGCTCTGAAATAGGGGGTGGGGAGCCAACTTCTAGAGGTGCTCAGAAAACACATATACATGACTTACTGACATAACATACAGTACACTTCCTGGGCTTGACAGACGTGAAAAGCAAACAGAGCTGCAATGTGAACTCAGGAGTCTGGATAGGAGTCCGTCCCTTCATGGAGCTACGTAACTGCTCTTGCTGCTTTCCGTAAATGAATGTGCATCCGGAATGGCTGCCAAAGTCCTCTGGCAGTCCAAGACTCAGAAAGCTCTTGACTTTCTTCTAGATCTTTACAACTCTTGCTGGAAAATGCCCAAAGTCAAAAGAAGCCGGAAAGCTCCTCCAGATGGTTGGGAATTGATCGAACCAACACTGGATGAACTAGATCAAAAGATGAGAGAAGGTAAGTGGTAGTGTCCTAACTGGGTAGGTTGGATGTAGGAGGCTCAGGTGCCTCCAATGATAGACAGACAACTGTGAGATGAGGCTCATTGCCAACTGGTCAAGTTCTGTTTACTTATCAGCTCAGAATGCTCAAAAGTCCTGAAATAGGATTATTAGCGTTCATATTTCTGAGAGAAAGATCAGGTATCTTTTTCACTTTAAGTGTTGTCTTGGAGACAGGGTCTCACTATATAAATTTTTTTCATTACTTTTGACACAGTGTTTCTACATAGATCAGTAGATCAGGCTGGGCCCAAGCTCATACAGAGCTGT